CCACCAAAGAAAACACATTTAATAAGATAACTCTTATTTGCGAGTTACTTGTCAATGCTACATATCGTAATTATAGCCAAAGTGCCACCAAAGAAAACACATTTAATAAGATAACTCTTATTTGCGAGTTACTTGCCAATGCTACATATCGTAATTATAGCCAAAGTGCCACCAAAGAAAACACATTTAATAAGATAACTCTTATTTGCGAGTTACTTGCCAATGCTACATATCGTAATTATAGCCAAAGTGCCACCAAAGAAAACACATTTAATAAGATAACTCTTATTTGCGAGTTACTTGCCAATGCTACATATCGTAATTATAGCCAAAGTGCCACCAAAGAAAACACATTTAATAAGATAACTCTTATTTGCGAGTTACTTGCCAATGCTACATATCGTAATTATAGCCAAAGTGCCACCAAAGAAAACACATTTAATAAGATAACTCTTATTTGCGAGTTACTTGCCAATGCTACATATCGTAATTATAGCCAAAGTGCCACCAAAGAAAACACATTTAATAAAATAACTCTTAATTGCGAGTTACTTGCCAATGCTACATATCGTAACTATAGCCAAAGTGCCACCAAAGAAAACACATTTAATAAGATAACTCTCATTTGCGAGTTACTTGCCAATGCTACATATCGTAATTATAGCCAAAGTGCCACCAAAGAAAACACATTTAATAAGATAACTCTTATTTGCGAGTTACTTGCCAATGCTACATATCGTAATTATAGCCAAAGTGCCACCAAAGAAAACACATTTAATAAGATAACTCTTATTTGCGAGTTACTTGCCAATGCTACATATCGTAATTATAGCCAAAGTGCAACCAAAGAAAACACATTTAATAAGATAACTCTTATTTGCGAGTTACTAGCCAATGCTACATATCGTAATTATAGCCAAAGTGCCACCAAAGAAAACAAATTTAATAAGATAAATCTTATTTGCGAGTTACTTGCCAATGCTACATATCGTAATTATAGCCAAAGTGCCACCAAAGAAAACACATTTAATAAGATAACTCTTATTTGCGAGTTACTTGTCAATGCTACATATCGTAATTATAGCCAAAGTGCCACCAAAGAAAACACATTTAATAAGATAACTCTTATTTGCGAGTTACTTGCCAATGCTACATATCGTAATTATAGCCAAAGTGCCACCAAAGAAAACACATTTAATAAGATAACTCTTATTTGCGAGTTACTTGCCAATGCTACATATCGTAATTATAGCCAAAGTGCCACCAAAGAAAACACATTTAATAAGATAACTCTTATTTGCGAGTTACTTGCCAATGCTACATATCGTAATTATAGCCAAAGTGCCACCAAAGAAAACACATTTAATAAGATAACTCTTATTTGCGAGTTACTTGCCAATGCTACATATCGTAATTATAGCCAAAGTGCCACCAAAGAAAACACATTTAATAAGATAACTCTTATTTGCGAGTTACTTGCCAATGCTACATATCGTAATTATAGCCAAAGTGCCACCAAAGAAAACACATTTAATAAGATAACTCTTATTTGCGAGTTACTTGCCAATGCTACATATCGTAATTATAGCCAAAGTGCCACCAAAGAAAACACATTTAATAAAATAACTCTTAATTGCGAGTTACTTGCCAATGCTACATATCGTAACTATAGCCAAAGTGCCACCAAAGAAAACACATTTAATAAGATAACTCTCATTTGCGAGTTACTTGCCAATGCTACATATCGTAATTATAGCCAAAGTGCCACCAAAGAAAACACATTTAATAAGATAACTCTTATTTGCGAGTTACTTGCCAATGCTACATATCGTAATTATAGCCAAAGTGCCACCAAAGAAAACACATTTAATAAGATAACTCTTATTTGCGAGTTACTTGCCAATGCTACATATCGTAATTATAGCCAAAGTGCAACCAAAGAAAACACATTTAATAAGATAACTCTTATTTGCGAGTTACTAGCCAATGCTACATATCGTAATTATAGCCAAAGTGCCACCAAAGAAAACAAATTTAATAAGATAAATCTTATTTGCGAGTTACTTGCCAATGCTACATATCGTAATTATAGCCAAAGTGCCACCAAAGAAAACACATTTAATAAGATAACTCTTATTTGCGAGTTACTTGTCAATGCTACATATCGTAATTATAGCCAAAGTGCCACCAAAGAAAACACATTTAATAAGATAACTCTTATTTGCGAGTTACTTGCCAATGCTACATATCGTAATTATAGCCAAAGTGCCACCAAAGAAAACACATTTAATAAGATAACTCTTATTTGCGAGTTACTTGCCAATGCTACATATCGTAATTATAGCCAAAGTGCCACCAAAGAAAACACATTTAATAAGATAACTCTTATTTGCGAGTTACTTGCCAATGCTACATATCGTAATTATAGCCAAAGTGCCACCAAAGAAAACACATTTAATCGCATTGGTGTAGAGAATACATGGGGGTCTCCAAACACCCCCCCCCCCTGATCACCTCACACATATACTACTCCAGTCAAGCCAAAACATAGCCAACTGACAGAGTAATGAACGCAAAGAAACTGAAAAAAAACGACTTGTTTTTTAAAACCTTCCGAAAATTTTTGAATTTCGAAGAAAATAGATTGCCTTAAAGCTCTTTGATTTCGTAAAACAACTTATGATGGACACTTTTTGTTAAAATTAACCCAATTTGAGAAAGCTGGATCAAAAAGCAAAACTTTTGATTTGCTGGGATATCTGATAATTATTTCCATTTTCAAAATTAGAAGTCGATCACGTTTTTCATGACTTTTTGCTGTTCGATAGTTGAGTTTGTCTTCCTTTTAACAACAAAAAAAATGAACCTGAAAAGAAAACATGTCAAATTGCGAAAAACCAAAATTTAATCTGAACAATTTTAAGGACTTTTCCTGAAAAAAATCACCTATATAAGAGTACTCCCTACGTTCATTACTATTAAAGAATGGACTTCTTGTTTTGAAAAATTCTAACTTTCGAATTCTAAAGAAATATTTACAGCCTTAAGCTCTTTATAAATACAAAAGTTTCTGCTCAGTCCTTTTTGAGAAATTTTTTATTTCACTGGTATAATTGAAATTTAAAATCCACTTTCGAAACTAGGAGTCGATTACGTTGTTGGCAAACCTAACGCTTTTGCTGTTCGATACTGAATTTTGTTTTCCTCTTAGTTAAGGAAATGCAGTGAATTTGAAAATAATTCAAAGTCAAATCGAGAAAGTGGCAGCAAATACAAATAGACTCAATTTTCCTTAAAATAATTTGCAATACAACAAGATGAAGACATCCACACTAACCTCGCATGTAACAAATCACAAATCGCCAAGCCATATTATGTATAAATTATGCCTTTCAAAAAATTGTGATATATTGAGTTAAAAATTTTCTGATATCGAGTTTTCATGATTGTTATGTCGTTTGAAACAAATAACTTTTTGTGGTTTATTTGATGAATTAAAATGCATCAACTGTGTTAACTTATTATTATTAGAATGTCAAATCACCTGCTATCAAAAAGCTGTAAAGATGCGCCAAAAGTGGCACCAATATCTGCGACTTGGGTTGGAAAAAAAGAAAGCTCGTACTAATACACTCGCATCGCAAGTGTAAGCATGGCAGTGTATTGGAACCTTTTCCATCGTTTATCGGATCAAAAAGATTTCTTCAAAAAGTTCCCTCACAGTGGAAACAAAGGTTGCCATGGAGAAGACATAATTTTTATTTGATTGTAATTTAGAGAATGAGTATGAGGGAAGGATTGTGCCTGAAGTTTAACTGGGAGGTAGGTCTGGAGTGGTGGACAGTGCCACTCCGGGCAATGGGGCATTGGTCCAGTCCGAAATGGTCACTGAAGTGGACGCGAACAACTCCTCAGTTCCAGTCACAGAACAGCGTACGAATTTTCTCAACAGATCGAGGGCAAATTAACCCAAATCATAGACACAAACACCGTAAACACAGAAGCGAAGCTGCATTTCGGAAACAAAAAGACTAACAAATGGCAAAAAGTAGTCAAACGTCCTCCAACAATATTCTGAAAGTTATATTTTTGTATTCATTTGAAATTGGATAGTTGAAAATCTTTGCCTCTAACCAAGTTAGGATTCTCCACCTCATTACTTAATTTTCATTAAGCTTTCCGAGTGTGACGTGTAAAATACTCTCTTTTGATTGGGTGATTGTTACAACTATAAATCATGTCCCCCAGCCGCCTAAATTGTTACAAGTATTTAGGGAGGTGTGTGTTGACTTAAATTGGGTGTAAACTGGATCTTTCAGCCAATAGGGTAGATAGAGTATATTACACGCAACGCTAACCAATTTTAATCCAAATCAAAAATTGGGGAGGAAGAGGGGGTTTTCTAACAATGAAAATGCACTGAACTTGAAAAGAAATCAAAAGAAGTCAAATCGAGAAAGCAAGACTTATATAAGAGTACTCACTACTTTCATTGCTCTGAAAAAATTGATTTTTTTAAAAAAAAAGAAAGTCCTATATCAAATACGGAAAGCAACGAAAAGGCTTCAATTTGATGTCAAAATTGACTCTTACAAGTATTCCTTAAATAACTCAAAACTTTTTTAAAATAAAAATCAGCCAACAGACAGTTGAAAAAGAGTCAATGAACGCAAATAAACATAAAAATTGGACTCGTTTTTTGAAACAACTTCAAATTTTGACATTCAAACAAAAAAAAGATGACTATACAGCTCAAGATTAATAATTGACGCTTTTTTGATAAAACTAACACAATTGAGAAAACTAGATTACTAGGAAAAGCTTTTATTCCGCTTTAACTTATAAACGAACTAAGTTAAAAATTGAACGAACTAAGTTAAAAATTGAAGTTCTTGTTAAAGTAATAGAAACAAACACGTTGAGGAATTATTTGACCGTTAAAACATCAGCAGTATTCATCTCATCGATGAATTTAATCATCTTCTACAAAAATTCTTCACCTTTTTCTTCCCAATTGTCTGAACATGACTCTTAACACCATAAAACTTGTCTGCAGCTTCACTCAATTCGGGACTGAAAGTAGTAATGATGAACTGAGCATTATTCGAGAGTTCTTTAATCATATTGGCTAACGATTGTCTATGTTCCGGATCCAGAGCCGCGTCAATTTCTTCAAAAAGATAAAAAGGCGCTGGGTCACATTTTTGGATCGCAAATATAAACGTCAAAGCCACCAGTGATTTTTGGCCTCCTAGTAACTGACTCATTTCTCGTGTCTCGGCAGGTTTACCCGAGAAAGACACTTTAATAGACACTCCCGAAAACTGCTCAACTGAGGGGAGTTCAGGTTGTTGCGAGCCACCTTCTTGAGAGTCCGCCTCTTTCCGACGCATAACCAATTGCGCTTGTCCTCCAGGTACCAATTTCTGAAACACTTCTGAAAAGTATTTCGAAACCTGTTTAAACGTGCACTCAATGGCCTCATATCTTTGGTTATCAAGAGAATCCATCATGTCTTGAATAGCCTGAGATCCCCTATCCACTTCGGCTTTCCGGTGCAATGACTTCTTCTCTTCTGTGGTACTAACAAACTGTTGTAACGCTTTCTCGTTTACGTGAATATACTTTTCCAACTCATTGTTGCATTTGTGCAACTCCTCAATAAGTTGGTTTCTGTTCATCTCTTGATAGTTACCGAATGATTCATTGGCCAAGGATCCCAAATCTCTTATTTTCTTCGAACAGTCCTCGATTCGCTTAACAATTAAGTGTTGCTTTTTGGTTATTGTCTCTAAATACTTGGTTTTACCTTCAATTTTGTCCTGTATTTCTTTTTCTTGGTTCTTATTTTCCTCGAAATTTTCCTGTAAATTTTGTAAATCGAGATTCAAATTATCTAACTGAGTATCAATTTCGTCCAATCGTGGTTTAATAGCCTCAAATCTTTCGGCCATCAAAGATAAATCGTTTTCTAGCTTGCGTTTCTTTTTCGCGCTTCCTAAATCTTGTAACTGGTTAACGAGATACTCTTGTTTTCTCTTCAAAGTATTTCCTAGTTCATATTCAAATATCATTTTTCTTTTCTCTTCAAGCTCGGACCTTTCTGAACCAATCGCTTTGAGCTCGCTCATCACTTTCTTTTTCTCATTCGCAATTATTCCCACTTCAATTTGGTGCTGTGCAATTATTTGGGGCAATAGTTCGGTCTCCATTTCAACCCTATACGAGTTCATAGAAGCGTTGACTTGATCCAAAGTTAGCTGTAATCTTTTCAGTGGCCTTTTTTTTGCTTTATAGCTCTTCTGTATACTATTCAGCAGCTCGTTCTTCAATCTCAAATCTGCTTTGAGCCGTTCTGTCATCTCTTGATGCTTGCAAGCTTTTGTCTTGGCTCTTTCAATTTCACTCAGAGCATGATTAATCTGCTGTTCTGCTTCATCTAGATTTTGATTAAGACTGGTGATCTGAGATTCCAGCTCAATGCGATCGCTTCGATCATTCTCCAAATGCGAGTTCAGGCTTTGTATCTGCTCTTGCAAGTTTCCTCCGACCAGTTTCAATTCGTTAATTTCTTGTCCAAGCCACTTGTCCCTTTGCTCTTTATACTCAAACTGAGGTACTAGGGGCTCCTTGGCATTTAAAAATTTTGCATGTTGGTCTAAACAATTCAAACGAAAACTTAAAATACCCTCCTTGCCGTTAACCTCTTCAAGCTGGGATGCAAATTGAGTAAATTTTTCCTGCTTTTCCGTTATTTGATCATTGACAGTTTTCAGCTCTGACTGCAAAATTTCTTTCATACTCTCTTCATTGTCAACTTTGTCCTGCAAATCTTTAGCCGTCAGTTCCAATTTCGCCTTTTGTTCGATCAAATCTGACTTTTCTTTTAAAAGCGTATCCTTTTCATCGACAATAGATGAAATCTTGTTTTTCAAGTCCCCCATATCTTTTCCTATTTGCTTCCCACGCTTCAGAATTTCTTGCAATTTATCCTGAAGAGGTAATGAAGCACTCGATATCTCATCTCGTTTTTTGCTCAAATCTTCCAGGTTTTGTTTCCTTTTCTTCAACTCGTTGTCTTGAATAGTATATTCAAGCATTCGGCGCGACTTATCCCACTTTTGGCATTGTTTCAATTCTTCTCGGCGCTCATCGAGGACTTTTATTCCTGCTATTTCTTGAATCCGTTTTAATCGTTGCAAATCAGGTGCAGTAGCTATTTCATTTATCTCACTTTGTTTTACGATGTAATACGGTTTGCTTCGCGAGAAACCAGCCGCCTCCAGCAAACTCAACACCTCGTTTTTTGGGATACTTTTCTTGTCCATAAAAAATTCATCTTTTTTGGCTCCTATCACACGCTGCAGGGAGACTTCTTCTTGTTCGATCGGTAGTCGGTTGTCCTTAAAAAAAAAACAATTTTGGCGATCTATGAAAAATTGATCCAACGAAACGACTATTGATTGAAAAACTATACTACTATAAACGCTAACCCGATTGTCGAAAATTATTTCTACATTCGCGGTAGTGATTCGTTGACCAGTCCCCTCATGTAGCAACGCCAATCTTTGCTCAGCTCGTAAGTTGGAAAAATCATCAGCTAGCACAAATTCAATCGCATAGACGATATCACTCTTTCCACTACCAGTTAGGCCAACGAAAACATTTGCTCTTTTGCTGAAGGGCTCAATTTTTGTTTGGTCCTTGTATGACCGAAAACCGTCTATAATGACCTATAAAAGACACAATATAAACTCTAAATTGTAAACATGTAAAAAAAAACAAATGTAAAACACAAAGCTATCATTCGACTTCCGCGGCTTACAAACCTGCTTTATATGCATTTAAAAGGGCTTTGATGTTTAGAAAACTGTGCGAGCCTGATGGTGGCTAAAGATAAACAAGCTTTATCTGAAAATACAGTCAATACTCTTAAAATGAAAACATGATTACAGCTTTTCCAGAAAATGAAATATAATTATAAAAAGCTTTAAGCGAGTTTAGTTCATAAACACTTACACTAATAACTATCATGAATTGTAATAATTATTACACAGACACAAAACGGTGTTTCGCGTCACTTGCAATACAGCAAAAGCAGAGCTGGTTGGATTTGAATTTCATCTAAATACTCTGACTTAACGTTGTACATACCTGATGATGATAGTTATACAAAAACGTTCGTTTTTGTTCCGACAGTTTGAAAAATGGGGAGGAATTTTGTATACGGGTGTTTTCGTTTTTCTATTTTGTTTTCCACGCAAAATCAGGCACCACAAATAATTTTCGGAATTATCGAATAGTATAAAGTCCTTCCAGTCGTGATTCAACAAACTTGACCCGTTTCAAGTTTTTTAACTTTGGTATAATTCCGAGCAAACAAAGCGAGCGAGCTGGCTTGTTTATGCCTAATTACAAAATCTTATTTAGGCCTAATTTACTTTTACTAAAAAAATATATAGTTCTTAGAATTTTTAACGCCGTTTTGGGATTCAAAAACTTCACAAATTTGATTTTTTGTGCTTATTTAATCAATTTTCTTTAAAAAAAAAATTCGTTCATTTTGCTTATTTTTTATGACTGTCGGATGTGCTTAAGATTTAGTTTCTCGTTCAGCTCCTTTTATTCCACCATACAGAAAAAACTACTCTATTGAAAAACATTTGAATAACTCTCTAAAACTGTTATTAAGCACAAATAACAGGAGCTGTTATTTTGTTTTAATTTTAGAGACTATGATCGAAACATTATGTGCTACTTGCAGAGTAAGTGTCTATCCATGTTTTCTAATACTTTATTGACTTCTAAATATTTCAAATGAAAACAAGGACAACAGGTTATTGTGCAAATAGCACAAAATGTTCCAGCCATTGTACCATTCCCCCGTATGGCACAGCGGAACCTTCCGTCGCACGAGAAATACCAATTAGAGGCGATGTTGTTGACGCATTCGTTATGAAAAGGAAAGAAAAATGTGCCAGTCGCTCATATTTGGAAGTTTGACCTTGAGAAAAGAGCACTTAATTTTGGGGTGAAATTTAATTTTTCAAAAATTCGAATGGAGCCTGTCATGCACGATTTTCTCGCGATAACTGAAAGTCAAAAAAGAGAAGTCAGAACAAGCGAGTGACAATCGCGGGAAAGTTGCAGGATAAATCAGTAGGAAATTGCTATTCGCAATTTCCGTCACAGTAATAATCTAGAGTAGAGCTGTCCCATTCGCAACAGAAAGAAGCGTATTCCCACGAACTGGATTATTGTGACTTGACTGGAGTATTATTCTAAACTGGACTAGAGTGAACCTTCGGTGGAAAAGTGGACAGCTTGAGTGTCCCAATGGTTCACGAGAAACTATAGTCTAGAGTACAAACTTGTTCTTGTTGTTAAAACTGACAAACATTAAACTCATTTTAGTTACATTATTTAATTCTCGAGTTAATTACCGACTGAAGTACTTCCCTTTCTTGAGCGTGCTACAATGTGAGTACTAATTTAAATTTCTAGAGTGTGTTTTATAATTGTTATGTTGAGGTAAGGCGAGTCTTAGGTTGATCCATCTGAAATGGATCAAAGTTCCACTGTCTAATAAAAAGTAACTTAACGGATTGTTCCGACCCGGTTTTTAACGGCGTTCATGTATTTTGGGTATCTAGAGACCTAAGTATGAGGACGTTTTTAATTCTAGAGTGGGGGGATATTTTAGTAGTAGCCTTTAAGCTGTAACGGGTCGTAGTCTCATGTCACAAACGAACCGAATTGGCTCCAGGGATGTCGAATACTCGGATTTTTTGATATTCGTTATTCGCCGCGGCCCAACTATTCGATATTCGACTTCGGCCGAATAGTGCCTTTACTATTCGGATTCGGCTTCGGCCAAATGTTACTACTCGAACAACTATTCGGATTTTCGAACTCCTTTTTCTTTTCTATACTCGCACTCGGCAGCGACATCAGACTCTTCTACATTAGCCATCTTAAAAAAAACAGAAGAATATTGTGAAACAAAACAGTAATACAATATTCGGAATATTCGGGTTTTTTAGTAGTGGACCCTGGATTATTCGGTATTCGGCAAAAAAAAAAAATATTCGGATTCGATATTCGGATTTCAAAATTTTAATATTCGGATTCGGCTTCGAAGTGCCGAATACTCGGTATTCGGGTCGAATACTCGGATTCGAATCGATATCCCTGATTGGCTCCGACTGATTTGAGGTAGAAAAACACAAGAGATAGTGTCCCTGACTCTTGAGCCAATAGTTATAGGGCCTATTTTTCTTAAGCCTCATGTGTGACTGCAGTAGACGAATGTTACATAGTGTTTTTATGGCGCTCCTGGGTGTTTACGACATCAAGACTACGGAGTCGAACCCACTTGAGACAGCTTCGGGCTGAATGCCCATTCTAGAGTACCGGCGGTGCGGTTCGACAGGAACGTGCAAACCTTCCGGTTGTACCGTGATAGCTTTTTAAGAAAACTCGAGAAAACTTCCTGGTACGCTCTCCGAACGAGGCTTAGCTAACCGAGTAAAGGGGGGCAACTAGGGGGACAAAAACACGAGCAAAAAGACAAAAAGCAAAACAAAAACCAAAAAAGAATAGAAAAAGGAACAAAAACCATAAAACGAAAAAAGACAGTGACTTTGACACCAGATTAGTTGGATCAAACCTTTATATTAATTAAATAGTATACCCATACTGTTTTACAAGTTCGATCGTTTCGATCAACCTAGTAATTTAACCCAGTAACCTTAATAAAGAGCCCGAGTGTGGGGCGTTGTCAAGGGTTTTCAGATAGCTTGGAACTTAGCTGGACAACAAGGAGACTTGACTGGAACAGGTGACCAGCCGAGTGGGAAAGTGGTTCAGGAGCACTTGAGCTGAACCAATAGGAGACTCGACTGGAAGAGGTGACCGGCCGAGTGGGAAAGTGGTTCAGGAACACTTGAGCTGAACCAATAGGATACTGGACTGGAACAGGTGACCAGTCGAGTGGGAAAGCAGCCAAGAAGGATTTGGCAGATCTCGAGTTTGCAAGTTGGGCAGAACGGGTATCGTTAAAATCCAAACTACATTATAGGAGATAAGTGTAAAATTGGATAAGCGAAATCCCCCGGTTTTGAGGAACGTTTTTTCTTAAGCAGGCCTGGAAACAGGTCTACGGTTTTCTCTTGAGAGGCTTAGCACCCGGCGCTCAAGGTAATTTTTAGGCTTAAGAAAGGGGGCTAGAAAGGGGGGAGGTTAGAAGGGGGGCTGGTTAAGTTAGAGGTTGGTGGTTGTAAATTGTAAAAAAGGGAGAAAATTAGACTAACTAATTAGTCGACATCGTTGACTTAGTTACATTAGACATTAACACGCGTTGGTAATAATAGGTGGATATCGAAATTTGAACTCGAGTAAAGGTAGGTACCCTGGTCGGATCGGTAGGGGGGAACGAACATAGACAGTTTTTGTGATACCCCATAAGATCGCTAGCAGGGGGGAAGGAAACGCGTGGCAATTAGGTACCAGACATTTTTTCGATAGAAGGTAGACATTTGTCACCTTTGAATTTTAGGTGGTCTCATCTTTCCGTTTTTATTACTTTTTCTAGCTTGGATTTTTGTAGCATTTTGGTGAGGATTTGTGTTTAGTTTTTATACGAACAGGTGATCACAAGATACCTGCGCACAGGTTTTGGTCTCAAGTCGCTTGGAACATTGAAAGAGAGGTAATTAAAAAGAAATAAGAAAAAGGGGGGTCAGCATTTGGCTTTTAAGAGAGGGTTTTTGGGAAAATTTTACTAGAGCTTGAGTGGTGGTACAAGGTACAGTACATCAACAAGTCCCCATAACGAAGAAGAAAGAGGTCCCACCGCTCAGACACTTGTCAACGGTCTTGGGACAGTGGTCTTGGGACAGTGGTCTTGGGACAGTGGTCTTGGGACAGTGGTCTTGGGACAGTGGTCTTGGGACAGTGGTCTTGGGACAGTGGTCTTGAGACAGTGGTCTTGGGACAGTGGTCTTGGGACAAGGGTCTTGGGACAGGGTCTTGGGACAGTGGTCTTGGTACAGTGGTCTTGGGACAAGGGTCTTGGGACAGGGTCTTGGGATAGTGGTCTTGGGACAGTGGTCTTGGGACAGTGGTCCTGGGACAAGGGTCTTGGGACAGGGTCTTGGGACAGTGGTCTTGGGACAGTGGTCTTGGGACAAGTGTCTTGGGACAGGGTCTTGGGACAAGGGTCTTGGGACAGTGGTCTTCGGACAGTGATCTTGGGACAAGGGTCTTGGGACAGGGTCTTGGGACAGTGGTCTTGGGACAGTGGTCTTGGGACAGTGGTCTTGGGACAAGGGTCTTGGGACAGGGTCTTGGGACAGTGGTCTTGGGACAGTGGTCTTGGGACAAGGGTCTTGGGACAGGGTCTTGGGACAAGGGTCTTGGGACAGTGGTCTTCGGACAGTGATCGTGGGACAGTAGTCTTGGGACACTAGCCTTGGGACACTAGCTTTGGGACAGTAGCCTTGGGATAGTACTCTCAGGACAAGGGTCTTGGGACACTGACGAAGTACTGGGACATTACCGAACAGTCTTGGGAGTGTAAAAAGAAGCCTGGGACGGTACAAAGAAGAGTAGGGACGGTAACTGGAAGTCTTAGGACAGTTTAAAAATTGAAGTAAAATTACAACAAGTTGTTTTAAGACAGGATTAAGACAGAACAAGACTGATTGGAACCCGGTACGGTTGGGACCACAAATAAAGAAAGTTACTCGAAGATTTTAGAGAACTGGAACAAGGTTTTTATCACGTTGTATATTTTCTTTTAAGAATTTGTTTCCACAAAATTTTTTATTCTTAGAATAGAAATGTGTATATAATAATATTGTAAATAAGAGCAATTGTAAATAGAAATAATGAGATGGAGTAGGGTACCGGT